ATATACATATTTAAAAAATATATAACATATGAAATATATATATATATATATATCATTTGAGACATTTTCATTGTACATAAATATTGTGTGCAAAAAAGTTGTTTAAATATTGTTTTAATATATCAAACAACACAAATCATCTATCATCTATATCTAATTTTATTATATATATATATTGCTTTCATTTTGCCAGCAGATTTAGCAAAGACAAACTATCACATTTAAAATGTGAAAATCTAGTTCCTTGTTTTGGGTCTTTCCCCCACACAGTCATTATATAATACATCATCTACAGTAATGCACATAATATTTCAGCTGTTTCAGTGTAACGTCTAGTGAAAGATCTAACGCATCACATCTAAAGTGAACAGTTTTGCAATTAAACAGTAAAATTCACTCATGCTAAAGGATAAAACAAACCCGAGAGAGAGAGAGAGAGCTTCAGAAGGGCCACACACTTGATGAGGATGATGATGATCACTTTCATGTTCTTAATGTTGTTTGCTAATTGTGAAGTGAAACGCCCCATAACACATTATAGACGTCAGGAAGCACTTAAAGCAGAAGCTGATGGAGCGTTTACATCATCCACACACAGCGGCTCATTTAAGCTGCAGTCCCATTAAAGAATCATGTGTTCTTTCTGAGGACCCCCAGGGATGGTTCTGAAATATTCATTCATCTTCTGCACATGAGAATGTATCTGTGGTCACCTGACACGCTCGCTGAGGCATGCTGGGAGCGCTGATGTCACTATGTTTCCCGAAGTGCACGAGTGAATTATTAATGTGTCCTGCTGTCCTCCGCTGTGTGTGAGTCAAGGTCAGAGGTCACTGAGATGCTGTTTGTGTTTCTTAGGATAAAATGTCCATGAAAAAAAATAGCACTTTCGGAACAAGTTTGATTTATTTTGGGGAAAAAAAAAAAGTAAATAAAAACTGGTGTAGGAGATTTGCTAGGAAATTTCACCAATCATTTCAAAGAAATGGCAAGTAACACTGAATTAAAGATGCAATTTTAAAGTAAAAGTATCTTGTAAAACATACTAAAATAATCTTTATTTACAACTTTGGGATTTTGAATTATCTGCGTCTAGAATGGACTGCAAACTAAATTTAAGTCAAAATAAATCTACAGTTGTTATAGATTTATATTTCCAGCCGAATATAGTATTGTATTTTTACTGCAGTTACAACTAGTGTTATTTTAGTGTTTTTTATATATACAGTAATTGTTATAGTATTTAATAATGTTTGAATTAGCATTTATTTTTATTTTCAGTGTTCATTTCAATTTTAGTTTTAGTAATTTTGCTATGTGCATTAAAAAATATATAGTTTTTTATATTTCTATTTAGCTTAATTTTATTTCAGTTTTAGTTATTTTGTTTAGCTTAGGCAGCTTTTCTCATTTTCTCATTTCTAGTTTTTCATCTTAAATGCATTTAATTTATTTAACTTTTATTGCAGTTAGCAAAATCATTTTAATAAATATTTGGGTATATACTGCTGTTATTTATTTTTTGTGTAACTTAATATGTTTGGATTTGAAATGATCAGCCTAATTTATATTCTCATTGTTTTGTGCCAGAAAAAAACTCACTGATTCTTAAAGGGGTCATATGATGCGATTTCAATTGTTCCTTTCTCTTTGGAGTGTTACAAGCTCTTGGTGCATAAAGAAGATCTGTAAAGTTGCAAAGACTAAAGTCTCAAATCCAAAGAGATATTCTTTATAAAAGTTAAGAGTCAACCACTCGTTCTATCTTTCTATCTATCCATCCATCATCTATATATCTATCTATCATCTGAACAACTATATCTTGGTATCTACCTGCATCTGAAAATTATTTGTGAAACAAAGCATCAAAATATTAAAATGGTGCTTTTCAGTTGTTGTACAGAACAGGACTCGCTGTCGAGTAACACACACTCCATGACTCAGATGTAATCACTGTGTGAAGAACAGCCCCAGAGATGTGCTTCTGCTATCAGAGCATCGTACTAATCTACATCCTCCAGCATCCGCAGTAACCCACCATGAAACGAGCAGCTAAATAATCCTCATTACCAGAATCAGACACCCAAATTAAACTGACCCTTTCTGCTCATATGAAGTGAATTCACTCCTAAATCTTTAAATATGCCCACAGGTGAAACTCCAGTTACTAGAGAATGAAGCTCATCTCATCTCTGAACATAGGAGCCGATCGCAGCACAAGAGCGCCACCTGCAGGCTGATGCTTTAAGCAGAGAAGTAACATTTTTTCCTATTTATTCACTGGCACCTCTCCTGTCCATGTTGAGAGAAACTTTTGGTGTGAAAGAGCTTTTACAGTTGCCAAAAATATAACTTTTTTTTTTTGTTAAAAATAAATAAGCCCAGCTCAGGTGACAAAGTAACACAAAAGTAATGTAATGCATTACTTTCCATAAAAAGTAACGCAATTAGTTATTTTATGGAGCAATGCAATATTGTAATGCATTTTTACTTCTTAAAGTAGCTTTCCCCGACACTGCATAATACTGATATGCATACTTCACATTAAATTAGACGCTGCATATGCAGAACTGCATAGCGTTGTTCAAATAAACTTAAATTAAATAATTTTGAAGCATTTTCAAGGTTCCTAGCACTGGCATGAACCCTGTACACGACCCATGTTTACATTACAGTACAAAACTATTCTAGGTTGGTAATGAAATTGTGTAGGTGTTCAGCGACATTTGTTTTGATAGGATTTAAAGGGATAGTTCACCCAAAAATGAACATTTGATGTTTATCTGCTTACCTCCGGGGCATCCAAGATGTAGGTGACTTGGTTTTTTTTTACTCTCCTAGATTTTGTTACCATTGCCATGCATTATAAGACTGACAGACTGTAACGGTTTGTAAACACTGTTCGGTTTCTGGCACAAACCGATCGTTTCGTGTCTTAGGACATCAATGTGTCGTCACGAGCCGCAGGGTTTAATTTGGATTTGTCTGTGCTTGTTTTTTTTACTCTCCTAGATTTTGTTACCATTGCTATGCATTATACAACTGACGGACTGCAACGGTTTGTGTTAAAAATCATCAAATGTGTTCTACTGAAGAAACAAAATCACCTACATCTTGGATGCCCCGGGGTTAAGCAGATAAACATCACATTTTCATTCTTGGGTGAACTATCCCTTTGATGTTTTAGATTTGGGATAGATTTAAATATGGAATTAAGGTAGAAATGTTGCAAATTGTAGTCTTATTCAGTTTGGTGTTGAACTGAAGTTCAGTTGTTTTGAAATACGTAAACGTGCAAATTGGTATGTAGTTTTGATGGAGGTTGTGTCTAATAGAGAAAAGAATTGATGTAATTTGAAAGATGTAGTCATTGAATGCACGTTGTGCCAAAGCAACGATAAATGATCCACAGTAGCCCACATAGATGCTGTTGTGCATTGATTCGTTTTCACCAAAGTATTGAGAAATAGGTCTTAAGTCACTAATATATTGGGTTAATCACAAAAGTAGACTTCCTGTTTGAAAAACACTTTTGCATCACAATTGATGCAACAAGAAAACAAAAGCTCATTACTGACACTTTAAAAGTTCACTTTTATCTTCAAAATGGTAATTAAATGCCGTTATAAATAAACTTGCTGTGCTTTAACATGGCACATTAAAGACAATACTTTGGAAAATCAAATAAGAAACCCAAATGCAACAGTGTGCAGCATCAAAGATAAACAAAATCCTTTATTTTTCATCACCACATGATTAACCAACGAAAGTTTGACATTCAGTTTTATTAGTCGGGCATATCGGAGGACGCTTCTGCAGCACAGGAATGAACAGACGTCGCTCTCTAGTGACCGATGCACGGATTAAAGACATGTTATTACTCCATTAAAACACACAATAGAAAAGAATAGTATATCTAAAAAGCTAACATTATGTACACAGACTTAAATATTTAATCACAGTTCAATGAAGTAAATGAGACTTCTTGGACCTGCCAAACCCCCCCGACGGCGTCTGGACACGTCACCTGTTATTATTACAGTGTCCGAACATCTCCTGTGAAGCGTACGTCATGTAGATGAAGCCGTCTTCATCTTTATGGTCTTTATAGAGCTGAGCCATGGTCAGAGACATGCTGGCGATGCCAGAGTTATTGATCAGCAGGTAGAAAGCTTGAGTGGGCATCAGGGTCATTCTATTCCTGAGAAACCAGAGCAGACATGAGGAAAAGCCACAGCGTGAGAAAGCGCTTAAATCCAGCCAGGTGACGATCAGCTGACGCCTCGGCAGATTCTTCAGCGCTGTTCACAGGCACTTACTACCAATACTAGTGCAGTATGCAGAACATGGGCAGTATGGGAAACACATGAAGTACACATGACCAGTATTATATGCTCCATCATCTACTAATTCTGCATGCATAGCGTAGATTTAAATATATTAAAGTTTCACATTTTTTTGGCTAATAAAATATTAGTCAAATCATACATTATACACTACATTTTATATATTTCGAGTTAGTAAGATATTTTTAAGAAATAATTTTATTTAGCATGGATGCATTAAATTAAGTGACAGCAAAAGACATAAAAACATTTGAAATTCTATGAAAAAAAAAAAAAAAAAAAAAGTTTACACATGATTATTACTTTTCACATTACGATAAAAAGTTATTTTGTTATTTAATTGTATTAATGTTTAATTATTGTATTAACGTTTCACATTCATAAATTAAATGCACTAATTTATGACATTCTAATGCATCAAATCTACACATGATTTATATATTAATTTTCACATTTACAGAACATTAATACAATAAAAAAATTATTCGTTATAATTTAATCGTATTAATATTTAATTTTTATGAATGTGAAAATCTACACTACATATATAGATTTCTTCATATTAAGTTTAATTCACAGAATCTTAATACAATTTTATAATAATCTCTCTCTCATATATATATATATATATATATAAAAA